GCTAATACTATCACCTACAAAGGTTTTCCGCCTCAGACTACTCTGAGAAAGACACCAAATGATTAAGGATGCATTTGTTCATTTGAGATAGTTATTTTATGGCTTCTGCGTTAATCTTATTATCCAACTACTTCGCATATTGCATCTAGGTGATTATGTCCTAAAAGAATATGGGCTGGGCTTTATAAATTTTCCTGATTCGTTTTAATTTACAGCAAATAAACGAACTGTAGAATTGGATATCTTGGATTACAGTTTGCTAGTATCTGGTAGGTCCTTGAAACGAAGAAGTATTACATTATTTGATCTGAATTGCATCTCTGGTAAATCACAATATGTCACGTTAATGAATACAGATTACGACTTCGCTGCTTATGGCCTCTCGAATGTACTAAATTCATAAGCTTAATATGTTTATAGGTCAATATAACAGTCCTTCCGAAGAGTTTATAAGGCCAAAATATGTTTTATAAATCTTAGTTCATGGTTAGATTATTAAAAGGCAATTTCAGGACTAATAAAAAAGGCATAGTTTGCAAAATACAATAATTAATGTTGAGTCTATTGTTAGCAGTGAATGTACGTAATTATATCTACATGTAATCCTTTCGGGCGCACATGGTATTTCAGTGCTCCCAAGTCACCTCCATGGTAATCTTTATTCTGTCCATGCAATCCATTTTTTAACATGACATCGTATTAACTCGTTTTTCAAATTCCTCCAGTTCCTGGGCTATTGGAGTTGGCAAATCTTGGCTTAACTGGTCCTCGAAGTAACGTCGGATATCCGCTATTTCTCTGTGGAGAAACTCACTTGACAGCTGGAAAAGTTGCTCCATATCGGGCCTTTGCGACAAGCCAGACAAGTTGATGTCATTCAGGTGTGGCAGTAGACCAATACTAGTTTTGCGCGCCTCGACATCTCCATCTATTCGGCGCAGGATCCAGTCAATCACCCGCATGTTCTCACCAAATCCAGGCCATAGGAACTTGCCTGAATGAGAGTCCTTGCGAAACCAATTGACATGAAAGATCTTTGGTAGCTTTAGGCCAGGCCGGTTTTCAAAGCTATCAAATAAAGACAGTATGTGGTACATTTTTTCTTAGTTAGAATTACAAATTTGGGCCCAAATAGTCAGCATACGATTGACAAAATTAATTTCAGTTTATCGTTTTAAGGTATAGCCACTTTAATCGTAGATATGAGGAACAAAATATTATGGCTGGTTTGATCGCAGTCTCCTCTAAATTTATAGTGATAGTTCGACCTCGTTTTCGCCCTTCCTCACTTGCAATTATCTTTATAATTAACTTCTTCTCCAATCATAGTTGTAAAAAAAAGGTTGGAGTTTTAAAATCTATGATTATTCAGAGCATAAGAATAGCCGATAGAAACCATTGTGAAAATGAACTGGGTCGGCTTAAAATAATAATTCTTGAAAATAATTATCCTATAGGTTTGAATGAAAGTAACATTAGATTAATAATGAATAGCATTTTGAATGGTGAATACGTAAGGAGAGATAATGAGATCCTTTATCATGTTTTGTTTTTACCTTCGTGTATTCTTTCTAAAAGGATAGAGGAACAAGTAAGGAAGTGGGGAATAAAAACGGTTTTCAGGCAAACGACGACATTTTCTTTAGTTATGTCCACTTTTAGAGAGAAAGTTGTCTCGTCATCCAGATAGGGTTGCTACAAAATAATGTGTTCATGTGGTCGCTTCTATGTCGAATAGACTTGTCGTCCCATTCGACAAAGGGTGGCTGAGCACAAAAGCGCCTGCAAAAGATGATGGATTCAAAAATCGCAGCTTGTTAAGCACAGGGCAGAAATGGGACACGAGATTGAGTGGTCGTTACTTTTGCTGTCCTAATTACTTTGAGCCATCAATGCAGGTTTCGTGCATAAGCGAACACAAACGGGCACGTGCACATACAGAAACAGACACACTCACAGGCTTCGAAGTTGATATGACCTTAACTAGCCAAAACACTTTATACCTGATCAAAGAGGCCAGATATAGACTATATATACCGCTATTAACTATTTGCCGGTTAGTTTTCCTGACTCGTTAACTTGAATCTGGTTGTGATGATGATACCTTGCTTAGATGATTTTCGTCATATGACGACCGAAAGCTTAGCTCCTTT